ATATCCCGTGAGCAATTGTTCCCCTCCAATAGTAAAAGCCCATTAATGTTGGGTGCTTCTGATAAACTCACTGTAGGATTTATCTCCTGCAGTCCTTTCTCCCTACCTCCTCTTCGATGATTCCTGTCCTGGTGCTGGGATCCTGGAGGTCCACCATTCACTGAAACATAACTGTAGAGCATATAACCACACTCAGTGACATAGCTGTGAGGAAAACAGGGCTTCAATGCTAATGAAAACTGGGCTCTTACTAAGTAGAAAAACGATAAGTTCGTTAGACTTAGGCTTTATTAAATAGAGCAAGGGTTTTATAACCTCTTCTCGGGAACTCAGGATAAGCTAATCACCTCAGTTACGCAGAACTTGGACACAATTTCCTAGGCCTGGAAATGTGCTAGAGGGTAACACTGAATTCCTATATCCAGGGCATGTTCCATTGGTTCATAGCTTTAGGTCTTCATATTCACGTGTTCATTGTCAAATCAAAGGAAACCATCACACCATTGAGAGCTGTGGCCTTTGCCTGGCACCGAACTACAAGAGTGATTTATCATTTGGCTACTTGAATTTTTTTTATTTTTTATGTGTATATGTGAGTGTATATGTTCACCATGTGCATTTCTGATGCCCTCAGGGGTCAGAAGAGGGTACAGAATTCCCTGGAACTGGAGTTGTAGATAGTGATGAGCTGTCATGTGTGTGCTGGGAACTGAACCAGGATCTTCTGCAAGAGCCACAAGTGCTCTTAGCTGATGAGACATCTCTCTTGCACTGGATTTTCTTCTTCTTTTTTTCAAATGAAAGAAGATACACAGTTTTGTAAAGAACACAGGGAATTTGCATTGTTGTGGTTTATGGTCATCCGTTTGTAAAAGATCAGGAACCCACTGACTTAAATTTTTTCTAAAACAGTTGTGCCAGCCAGGGCTCCAGGTGGGGCCAGGTGGAGATTATCACAAAAGCACAACCACACACATGTATGGATATGTACCTACAGGCATATACACATGTGTTGATTATACCTATGCATATACACACACATATATAGCTGTAAAGATGCATACAATTTTTATGAAGATATTTATTGCAGAATTCGCTGAACAGGCTATGGGCTAAATAAGTCTATCTCAAGTCCAAAAGGCAGTCCTCAGGGATGACAGGATGAGACTGGTGGGCACAGCCTGGTCCCGGAGGTCACAGATGGACCCTCTTCTTTCTCAGAGGGCTTCAGTTTTACCTTGAAGGCCTTGAAGTGATTGAATCCAGTCCACCCAGACTGCCTAAGGACATCCAACTGAAAGCCACCTTCTTATCTGAGAAGTGTCTTCAAAGAAGCATCACCTCTCAGTGTTTGGTGGGCTCATGAAGACTGTGGCCACGTTCATACATGAAACTGCCATAAGAGGTGTTCACGAGGACACATGTTTGACCCCCCTCAAAAAAAGCCTAATAATGGAACAGGGTTCAGAAAACTAGAACTATATATGGATCACTTCTATAGCTTTTTGGGGTATGAGGTGGGGTGCAGACCCGGTTTCTCTGTGTAGCCCTGTCTGCCCTGAAACTCACTCTGTAAACCAGGCTGGCCTTGAACTCACAGAGATCCACCTGCCTCTGCCTCCAAGTACTAGGATTAAAGTGTGCGGTGCTGCTACTCCTGATTGGAATACTTTTCCTCTGAGACAGGGTTTCTCTGTGTAGCTCTGGCTGTCCTGGAACTCGCTGTGTAGATCAGGCTAGCCTCAAGGTGTGCACCACCACTGTCCTGTTAGAGAAGCTCCTGCAGAGTTCTGCAGCTGGCTTGATTCCAGAATATTAGTTGCCTAGCTTTGAGATCCGCCTTTGATGACTGGTACCTTTTGAGTCCGATACCTTCCGTTTGGAGTATGTGAATCTTATCTGAGAGTTTCCCAGGGGTTCAAAGCCTGTGCAAAGATTTGGTTTCATGTTGTGGTGACCCCCCAACCATAATGTTATTTTTGTTGCTACTACACAACTGTAATTTTCCTACCATTATAAATTATAATGGAAAATGTCTGTGTTTCCCAATGAAACCCTGTGAAAGGATTGTTCTACCCCCAAAGGTGTCATGACCCTCATGTTGAGAATCACTGTTCTAGATAGTTCCTCAAATTATATCAAACAGATTCAAGTTATTAACTGGGAAGAACCCACAGTGTGACACAGATGCCCAGAAGGATAGCCTTATAATAGAAGCAAATTTGCAATGAGTTAATGTTACCACCAGCACATTCACACAGTATTTTCTTCTCCTCTCCAACCAGACATGGTATGGCTGCTTTCATTTTTGTGTGTGTCCTCTTGGGTTTTTTTTTTTTTTTCCTTTATGGTCCTTTTCTCACTGTACTGGTGAATTCAATGTCTTTGTGTCAAGAGAGGCCTATTTATTCTGACAAACTGATCAACCTCCAGGGTGTTCCTGCTCCATGAAACTGATTTTATATCTCATCCACTGGCTAATAAGATGTGAAGCGCTTTTCCTGTCACGCCAAGAGATCAGACTAGCTTCCCTCCAAAGCGGGTGGCTGGAGTCACAGCTAGCTCTCTGTGGCTGAGCTGACTGAGTCACCATGCAAGGCTTCTCCAGCTGAGTATGCCAAAGCTGAAGGATGGGGTGGGTGGGGCCCGCAAGAAGATTCATGCACTCACTCTAAAAAAAAAGAGGAGTGTAAGAGGCAGCATTTACCCACTGCATCCAGGGTGGTAAACAAAATATCAGGAGTAAAGCCTGGCAGTGCTGGAGAGCTGTGTGGGAACAGAGGTGCAGCCTTTCCCACCAAGGGAAGCTTCTAAGTGAAGCTGACACCCCACCACCCTGGAGGTCAGTCTTCTGTAAGAAGTGCAGAGTGTGTGGGCATCCTGGACCCCAAATCTAGCATCTTTCAACCTGAACCTCTGAACACTGTCATGCCACAAGAAGAAAGTTCCACACCTGACCCTGTGTGATGGGACACAGTCAAAACACAGACATAGGACTGAAGAGATGGCTCAGTGGTTGAGAGCACTGGCTGCTCTTCCAGAGGACCTGAGTTCAATTCCCAGAACCCACATGGCAGCTCCCAACTGCCTGCAACTCTAATAGCACAGGACCTGACACCCTCTTCTGGCTTCCATGGGCACCAGGCACATACATATTATACTGATACACAGACAAGCAAAATACCCCAAATCGTAAAATTTTAAAATTTAAAAAGAAACAAGCATAATAAAAATGTTGTATGTAATTTCCTTCTGGCTGTGTGGGAATAAGGCATATATTAAACCCCAAATATTTCACATTGATATATATATATATATATATATATATATATATATATATATATATTACATATATGTATATGTATGTGTACATGTATGTAATGTATGATTATACATGTGTACATATATACACATCTATACATGTGTGTATACACATTAACGTACATGATTATACATGTCTGTGTATATATGCAAACATTCTGAAATCTGAAAAAATTCTGAAATGCCAAATTTGAATTAAATCTTGTCCACACATCTTGTATTGGAAGGAAGTGAAATCTGCAGCTGAGGAGTCTGCCTGCATGGGGGACGTCATATGTAGCCAGAGCATGTTGGGTTGGTGTCTCTCATGAGTCCAAGAGAAACAGCTGACTTTTTTTTTTTTTTTACAAAAACATAAGTTGGAGTTATTGGTACTGGTTGTTTTTCTTTAAATTTCAGTTCAGATTCATCTCACCTTAATCAAAGCCATGACAAATGCCTGGCTGATTCCCTGGCACATGATCTTGAGAGCTCCTAAGCCTCTGGAAGACTTCTGAGAGTTCCAGGCATTTGGTGGCTTTCCGCTGGTATCTCAGGTGTCAGGTGGATGATGACTCGAGTTCAGTTAAGTCACAGTGTGCAGCCAGCCTCAGCCACTGCAGCAGCCTTGGCCATGGCAAGCAATGGGGAAAACATGATAGGCCTTCTGGAGAGGCCCGGTTACTCCGGGCACGAATAGGATGGACTCAGAGCCTTTGCATTGGGTCTGCAGCCACTTCCTGTTCCATCTTCCTCTTTAGAAAGCAAGGGGGCAGCAGAGTCCTTGGTTGTCTGTGTCCCATGGTCATTGAGTGTTGAAAACAGCAGCATCACCCAGTGGAAGGATCTGGTGCAAGGACTGGGGTATGGCGCTGGGGTACTGTGCTTGCTCCGTTACCCAAGGCCCTCACAAGACCTGCATTAGTTTCCCACATTTGTTTCCTAAGACTGCTGAAACAAGCTGTAGTAGGCTGGAAGTTGTAAATAACAGAAAAATGCTGTCTTTGTAGTTGCTTCTGGGGTCTCTCTCCTTGGCTGGCAAATGGTTGCTTCTCATTGTATCCTCACATGCTCAGTCCTCAGCCCATGAATTTCAAGTTCTGATCTCTTTTTACAGGGACACTAACAGGTTAGAGCCATCCTAATGGCTCCTTTTAACTCCACTCTAATGTCCTGATGTAGCCTCATTCTAAGGCACTAGGGGATAAAAACATTATTCCCTTCTGAATCTAAGACAATGAAGGGGGACACACAAAGGAACACAATCCAGCCCCCAAACAGCCCATTCCTTCCTTTTATAATAGGCTTTCAGTACAAAAATTCATCCACTGACCACTTAAGCCTATTGTGTTTGGAAAACAAACTTAGAACAAACATTGAAGATGAGCCTGGAATGAAGGCATGGTTCTGGCACCAGGAACCCTACTCACAAGTGTTCCCCTTCATTGCTGTCTCCTCCAGTGGGCTAGGGACACCAGGAAGTAATGAAACAGGATATATCATTCATCTTTGTTACCCTGTTGAGGTGCACAGAATATTGTGCTAAATGCCCCATTTAACTGTGGGCAGTCCCATCAAAATACAAGTTGGTTCCTCTTTGCAAACAGCAATTTGCCATAGAAGTTGTAACTCAAGCCAGAGAGGTAAAAGTGACTGTGGAGTGCTACCCAACGTTCCTGACACATGATATTGTCTTGCAGTTCATTTTCTGCCGGGACTGTAAGGAAGCATACCATGAAGGTGCATGTGACTCGCTGTTTGAAGCCTCGGGGGCTACTTCTCAGGTAAGAGTGATTCCTACATCCTGCAAAGCAAGGCAAGGCGCTCTGGTAGGCAGCAGCCCCACCAAGGTCACAGGAAGTTAGTTCCACTGTGAAAGTCCAAGCAGACAGCCTTGGACCTGAGCCTTTGGCTTCCCCATTTAGCCTTCTCTCACAGGGCATTGAGTAGCTTTCCCATTTGCCATTCAGGGCATATCTCTGTTGCCTGATAGCTTTCCTCCATGGGGAGTATGGACTAGGGATAAGGTACATCAGAGAAGACAGGGATAAGACAATTGAGCAGTATCTAAGCCAGGAAAACCACTATTTCCCCTACTTTTGTTTTATTATTTAATATATTAATGTTGTAGGTGTGTCCAACCTGTAACCCACAGGCTGCATGCACAACACAGCTATGACTGTAGCTCAACACTGAATCATAAACTTACTGAGACCATTGGGAGGGCTTGGGGAGGGGATTGTTTTTGTTTTTTACAGTTTGGGGGGATGACTGAGTTAAGCAGTTCTTAAAACATGAGAGTATGTAGATGACATCTGTCACAATTTTAAAAAGTTGGAGACTTTTAAAATTACCTCTGCATGTGTCATGCACAGACTCCTGATGATGGGTGATATCCCTAATAAGACTATTATAATTCGAAAATATTACAAAGCATTCAAAGTCAGAATGCTTTGAAAGCTTCTAACCTACAGGACTTCCCAGCTCAGCCACACAGCACACAGTAGGGTCTTGATTTCTAGCCCTGCCTGGTCGTCACAGGGCCAGGTAGAAGTTACTACCACTGCCCAGCATTGCCACAAAGGATGGGACTGTGTAGCTACTCAAGGTCCAGAGCCCAAGTAGAGGTTCTGCTGAGCATCCATGGCTTTTGCACTGTCTTGAGGAATCACAGCCAAAGCACAGTAAATTCAAGGCCATCTGGATCCAAGTACTATACCAGGCAAAAAAATGGCTACAGTTTCACCAGTCTCACAAACAGTGCTCCATTGTGTCTTCATCCTAACCAAGTAAGGATCGAATTGCCTGAACCCCAGTCACTCGTGAGTGATACAAGGCCTGAGGAAAAGTAAAAGTGTTTCCTTTTATCTATTAATTATGATCAATCACATTAAGACATAAGATTTAAGAACTTCAGCACAGTTGATGAATTTGCCCATTCGTTTGCCTAGTCATTGGCAAGGGTTTAAACACCAGATCTATGCAAACAAATACTACATTTCATTGATAAGAACCTAGTAAACAGACTTTGAAATTTCAGAGCACTTCAATTTTATAGTTGAAAATGCTGAAGACCCTGATGATCTCAAGTCAGTGCAAAAAGAAGTGTATCCCTGTAAGGTATTGTGCAGCTGTGTTTACCCAATGTTAGCATAACTAAATAAATATAATTAGTGCACTTGGGTCTTCTCAAAAGATCCTCCATTGTTGACCACCAGCATGTCAGGAGGCTTAGGAGTGAACCGCTATTTCCACAGCCAAGGAAGCAGCTGTGGCTTCTGTTCATCTATTTCAGCTCAGGGACACTCAAGTTCAAGCTCACTGGGTACTGAAAGCAGGAATGGTAATAGCTCTGGGACCCCTGCCTTGAGCTCTTTGTAGCAGAAGATGATGACGCAAGAGGCTCTGGGAAATGGGGTTAATCAAACAATTTATATCCATCAGTACCCCATACATGAACCAAAGCTTCCAAGGTGGGAGATTCTATCTGAAGATGAGGAACAGCCTTACTTACCCTTAGGCTTCCCAGGCACCTGACTTTCCCTGGAATCCCATCCATCCTTCAAAAGGAAGCAACCAACCTTGGTGTTTAAGATTTTTTTTAAGTCATCATAACCTTAATATCTAAGCCATAAAAATGGAGAAAAGAGCATTCAAGATGACCATAAGCTCACATAATTCATACCCAGGGAACTGTATCCATCAAAACATCACTGTGTATTACACTGAACATCTGTATGGGTCAAGAATCCTGCTAGACTAAGCTAGCTAGCAAAACGTGGATGTGTATGCTTCCCCTCAGAGGATTGATGGAGAGCCACGGGAGAGATGTAAAGGAAACCAACAATTATTATCAACATACCTGCTGGCCAAAGCCCAGCAAATATGTAGTTTTGTATAACACTTGCCTGGAAGTCATGGAAAGTGATTCTGAGCGTGTCAAGAGGAAGCAATGGACTCTCCACAGTAGTCCTGAAGACCATTTCAGAAGAGAGGGTTTGCAGGCAAAGGCACAAGCATCTCTCCTGCTGTTCTCCTGTTTTCCCAAGCCCAATACAGAATCTGTGCATACACACTGGACAGATGTATGTTGAGTGCTGGTAGCATCATAAGGAAAAGGTATTAATTCATGCAACAAATATATACTAAACACGTATAATAGAGGCACTGTTCCAAGCCCTGTGAATAAAGGGCAAGACCCCTGCTTTTGTAGCAGTTACAGTGAACTCAATTAGATAGCTTGTCTATTGTGATAGAGAAAGGTTGTACAGTCAACATAAAGATTTCGATGAGTCATCACTAATGCATGTCAGCCTCGATTCTAAAGCCTTCCTCTAGAGCTGCCTACCTCTAAACATGCCCCTACGTCTAGCCCCGATCCTAGAGCCACACTCCTATTCCTGCTACTTGAAAACAAGACAAACTACCCAAAAACTTAAGAAAAACATGCCTGCTGTCCACTATGGTGGTTTAGATGAACATGACACCCATAGGTGCACATATTTGCATGCTTAGTCCCCAGCTGATGAGCTGTTTGAGAAGGATTAGGGGGAAGGGGTCCTTGTGGAAGGAAGTGTGACACTAGGGTAGGCTTTGAGGTTTCAGGCCTAGTGTCTCTGTCTCTCTGCCTGCTGCCTTTGGATGATGATGGAAAACTCTCAGCTACTGCCTGCCTATCTCCAAGCTCCCTGCCATGATGATAATGAACTAAGCCTCTGAAACTGTAAGCAAGCTTACAATACAATTAAATGCATTTTTTTATAAGAGTTGCCCTGCACATCAATAGAACAGTATCTAAAACATCATGGTTGCCAGAGATAGAACTTGGAATCTTTGCTGTCACATTTTCCCGAGTCTTGAATTCAATTAGGGTCCCAAAAAAGACCAATCAGATGGAAGGAACTGGGTCAATACTGGTGGAGGCCACCGTCACCCTAGGACAGAGGAGGCAGGTACCTATCAATTGTGAGCTAGAGCCATGGATGGAGGAGGGGCCTTGGGATAGGCATAGTCATGAAGAACCCAGCATTGGGCCTAAAGCAAGGAGGGAACTGTGGCGTCCATGTGACGACTAAGTCTAAGAATCGGGCGAAAGCCTGGAGATTTAGTTAAAAGCAGAGTCGCCCGGTTGTTTGTGCTAGGAGAATGTGTGTCTGTGGTCTTTGCAGGGAGGGAGCAGCCTTATGTACAGATTTATGGCACAGTAGAAAAACCCCAGGTGTAAGAGTTTGTGTTTTTTTGCCAGTGGGGTACAGCTGGGGTTGTAATCCAGGACTAGAAAACAGGATGCATCTGTGGTTATCAACTCACGGAGACCCTGTGAGGGATGGGGCCCAACATCTCTTCCAACAGGGAACATGATGGGACTCTAAGCTTCTCTCTTCCTCCTTTTCAGTTCTTGTGTTTCTCACTAGCAACCCACAACTGCAAGTTGTTGGGGTCCTAAGACAGAGTCCATGGGAGCCAGCCTCCCAGGAAGAAGAGAGAAATGCACACAGACTTGCCAGTGCATTCTTGATGGTCAACTCATCAGACTGTTGGCCATGGAAAGGATGAACCAGACAAGCTATTTCATCAAACTGCAGTGGCCAGTCCCCTTCAGAAACAAAATGAAGTGGGGTCTGTTTTCAATAGAGCTACCCCACTTGTTTCTTGTTGCCTGCATTCAGTAGGAGAGTAGCCTCTGCAGCTTCACCGACCTGCCAACCCAAAGAATCCATGCCTAATTGCAGCCCCTCCCCCACCCCGCTTGCTGCTAACACTCTCGAACCCCTCACTGGGCCTCTTCACATTCTTCTGTTCAGTTGTCTCAAAGCATCTTTTCCCATGAGCCACTTGGAACCCCTCTCTGTCTTCTTCCCTTCATAGCCGACTGATTTCTGTTTCTTGATACTACATTCCCCAGAAAGGGGGAGCCCATTTCTCCTGGGGCCCAACCAGCTTTTGCTGTCAATTAGACTGCCTTTCCCAAAACTTAATGCATTTTTTGATTAGTGCAATTTTTTTGATGGCAGACTCAAAACTTGACTTTAAATTGGCTTTAAAATACTGAACAAGCTTTAAGTTGAAACAGCTTCTGCAGCAGCAGATCAATCCTTCATGGCCAAGGAGAGTCCAGCCCCCTTCGCTCTTGTCTGGTACTTGTTTCCAGGATGCTCTGCTCCCCTCCACACACTTCCTCCAAACTAAACACTTGCTCTTATAAACCATAAAAACTGATCCATTCTCCTAGTGGTTCATAGTGGCTGATGGTATTCTCACTGTCTAATGGCGAGACAAACTGTGACTTCCTAACATTGTCTAAAGCCACAAAGAAAATTGACCTCAATGGCGCTGATTAAACATAATCATTGGAGAATGATATCCTTCTCCCTCTCTCTCTCTCTCTCTCCCTCTCTCTCTCTCTCTCTCTCTCTCTCTCTCTTTCTCTCTCTCTCTCTTCTTCTCCCTCTCTCCCTCCCCCATCTCTCACTCTCACTCACTCTCTCTCACTCTTTCCCTCTCACTCTCTCTGTCTCTCGCTCTCACTCTATCTCTGCCTCTGTTGTCTCTCACTCTGTCTCTGTCTCTATGTCTCTCCCACAATACCCAACAGGAATGTATTCATCCCTGACTGCTGAACTCCTAGTTAACCTTCAAGGCCCCAATCTTATGTCTCCTCCTCTACAATGCCCTCTGCTCAACCCAGTGCTTCCTCTAAGCCTCAGGACAACTGTGCACACCCATGCTGTACATCCATCCCATGGAAATGCTCTTCCTGCAGCATCTTTACATCCAGGTGCCA